AATCAAACCCATATTTATTTCTACGTTTATCAAATTCACGATTTTAATTGGTCAATCACAAAATTGCATGGGTTAAAATTTTGTGTTCCCTCCTGTTAATTTTTGTGTTCCCAGTACGTTCCCTCCTGTTCATCTATAACGGTCAATGATTATCGCATGGCTTTAAAAGCTTATAACTCCTTATTAAAAAAGAAAAAACCGATAGAATTAAAACTAAAGGCCTAGGCCTCATTCCCATCGGTTTACTTTTTTCATTTTATTTGAAAAGTTGAGTTATAAGACTTCAAAGTTACATATGTCTGTCTATGTAAATTGTAAAATTTTGGAATGATCTTCTTCCCTTGTGATTTCCTAAAAGGCCGATGACCAGCTTAAAAATTCTCCGTGATACAGAAAATATTTCCACTAAAAGAAATATGATTACTTATTTAGAGAGATCTTCTAAAAATTTTAAATTTCGGATTTTATACATGACTTGAACCACAAGTCCTTGACGAAAATTATATTCCAATTTTTAAAAAACCAAAGACACTGATTTGATGAAATAAAACTGTCTATAACTTCTTTAAGTGATTCCTCCATAAATGCGCATCCTCAAAAAGGATTTATTATTATATTAATATGAAAAGAGATGAGGTCCAAAAAAGTCAAAGGTAAATTCCACGCCACAATGACACATAAAAATCGAAACCATTACCATTACTAACATTACTAAGATAAAAATACAAATAATTAAAAATTATCTTGTGTTAATAACTAACACATTAACAAATTTATAAAATCCCATTCAAGTTTTTAAAAAATATTTAATTTTTTAGTGATAGGAAAATTTTTTTGTCAAGCTTTGAAACTAGTTCAAATTTTCACAAAATATGCGGCGGTAAATTAATTTCATGAAACATTACATCACAATTTTTAAGATATTCAAACGCAATTTTCTCAACAAAATTATTCATATTATATATTTAAAAATTCAATATATTGTCGGGTTTCCTTACTTTTTAAAACAACCCAACTTCTCGTCTGTTGATTTATTAATTCTTTCTAGATTTAATAAATTATGGAATTCGGTTTTATTGCTTGCTTTTAAATTTTATAGTCTTCCTTTTTAATCTTGGAAAATTTTTCAATTCTCGACTTTGGGCGGACCATGGAAGGACAAAATATTATTTTCTTCTTTCGTACATTTGCAATAGCTGCTTTATAAAAAAATGTAAAATGTCATCATCATTATCTTCCTTTTCATTCATTAATAAAAGGCAATATATTTTTTTGTAAATGTTTTAGCATTTTTAATATTACTAGAAAAAACAGGCCTTTTAAAAAAGTAATAAAAAATTTTAAACGTAAATATTTTTTGAGATAATATTATTATTATCATAAATAATTTTGATTAATATATACATAAATAAAATTAAATTAAATAAATTAAATTAAATTAAATAAATAATAATATAATCTACATAATGCTCAATGAACGAAGATTTATCATTCTTTGTAAATATCCATTGGACAATTTGTTTTTGTTATAAATTTTTTCTACTTCAAACCCCAGTCCAACTAAAAAATTAATAAATTAAAAGTTAATAAATTAAAATTAATCTTAAAATTTTTAATATTAGATAAATCTTCTTACCACAACTAGCAGCAACAAAAACTGTTGATACACATAAATTAAAAATTGTTGAATCATGCGTTGAACTAATCTGTAAATATGAATATTTATATGATGATGAATCCTTTTTTTTTTCACTTTCATCATTGCTGCCAGCCCTCCTTTGTTTTCTTTTTGATTCGGCTGATTCAATAGCCTTCTTGTTATGTTTAGTATCTGCAAGATATCTACGTAAAAGCCACTTGATTCGACTTGCAGTTGGTCTTTTCTTGGGATCAGGATTCCAGCATTTTTTCATCAACTTGGAATAAAAATCTGGTGTATCATAGGTAATCTCTGGCCTTTCTCCTCCCACAATCTCCAACATAAGGTTAACATTATGTGATCTATCATCAAAGGGCTCTTTACCAGAAGTATATACCCACATTATCATCCCAAAGCTATACACATCGGATCCTTTTGTATATGGTTTGCCTAATAATACTTCAGGTGCCAAATACGGTATAATACCATAAACTTTATTATTTGGATTATTTTCTTTGACCGGCCCGCATAACCCCAAATCTGCTATAATGCTTTTCTTGTTCTCATCTATCAAAATATTGCGACTATGCAAGTCACGATGTATAAAATCTTTAGAATGAATTTTATTTAGCCTGATGAAAAATATAGATTATTTATTATTATTAGCTTATCACAAAAAATTTACAAAAATAATTTAAAAGTCAAAATTACCCAATTGAAATATTCAAAAGTGATTTTAATTTATCTTTCCAGGAAAAAGTCTTAAAATTTTTTGACAAATAATTATGTAAATCACCTTCTTGTGCATATTTAAGTACTATCATATAATGATTTTTCTTTTCATCTTTCGTAATTCCGTAACACTCGTTAATAAAATGGTTGTAAATTCTTTTATGCGCTTCTAGCTAGTAATTTAATAGTTCAATAATTTAATATTTAACAATTAATTAAATTACTTGGTATATATTCTAAAATTCAAGGGTTTATTTACCTCTTTTAATATTAGTGGAATAACATTTTGTGGAGTGTTAATGCATTTTAGCACTACTTTTTTATTACTAGACCAATCGGCAGTATATGTGGTTCCGAAACCCCCTTCGGCTAATAGTTTAACTTTAGAAAATTCATCATATGAAATCCACTTAATCTTGCTCCCATCCTTCCTACATCCATAAAGAAATTTTGCCAATTCTTTATCTCCGCATTGCTTCGTTAAATTTTTAATCATTGTTTCTTTACTGTAGCTGTTATTTTCGCCTACTTGGTTTTTTTTTATTTGAAACGTGTTGATTGTCATTTTTCATTCTAAAAGTTTAATAAATAAATAATCAAAAAAAATTTTTTGACAAAATTTTTCGAAAAAAAGTTGTATTTATTAAAAGCTGAAAAATTTTTCCTATTGCTTACTATTTTTCCGATTTAGTCGTGTGACACATCCTGCAGATTAATAGCAAAATATTATTAATATTAATATTCCGACTGGGCTTAATTAAATCCTTTCCTTAACTGGTGTGGATCATGAATAACTAGTTTGTGACAGGTTTGATAAAAAATTTATATATTGTTCTAGTTAATTTAATTTATTAACAATATTACCATTATCCATGTTATTTTTACTAATTATACATCAAAATGTAACTTAGGTTTTGATGAATATGCATGTAAATTTTGATATTTATATTAACAGTCGTGTGACATGTCCTTTCAAATTATTTTCTATATTAAATAAAAAATTTCTAATTCGTGTCACATGAAGTTTTTTTAAAATATCTCGTTATTTTTATAATAAACTCGAACTTCGTTGTTAGAGCAAAATAAAAATACTCCATTAAAGCTTTCTAATGAATACTCTTTCATATCGAAAGGTCTTCTCTATATAAATATACGGCTATTCAAAAACGGTGTTACTTTTTCACTTCAAAGCTCAGATTATTTTTCAATATCGCTTTAAAAGACCTGATAGTGACTGAAGAGGTGTAA